ATCTGCATTCGAAATGTCACATCTGTGATCCGAATCACTAAAAACAGTGGCTTGTATAATCTATGGAATACATCCATACTAATGTGAACTTTCTGTATGATAAAAAAGCACATAGATGACATGTCCTTGAAGGTGATGGCACAGAATAAACTAGCATTTACTGTATGTCTAACATTCACCTCTAGGAAACACTGAGCAGAATTTATTTATTCATTTTACAGGATAATAACATTTCCTGTATTCCTTTGACATCTGACCCATTTTAATCTTATTTTACCAACATAGAATAGAAGAATATGCTGGAAGGTCTTTTATAGATTCGGTGGTTTTGATTCAACAGAAAATAAAGGATTTACAAGATAATCCCCATTTATGGATTAAAGCATTATGTCCCTAATCTTTATCAGCTTTTTGATAGCCTTGAAAAAGTTTCACCAAAGTGCTGAACGTGAGATCTGATGCTTTTATTGGACCAAAAATAGAAGCTATTAGTGATACATTTAATGAAAAGAGGGGAGTTTTCAAAGTTTCTGAATATTAGGGTGCCAGATACTATACAGAGAGACAGACTGGTAGATAAAGAAGCTTTATTAGTGCGAGATCATGCTGCTGCAATAAAAAAAAAAATCCCAAAATGTTCCTACGGGAACTACCTAAATGTGTGGAGGGACCAACAGTTGTAATTTGTCCTGTTAAATCGGATATCTAACCAGAGACGGGAAAAGTACTCACAAATTGTACTTAAAGAAGAGTAGCACCACTTCTATTAAAACCAAGGCTGTCCCTGACTAAAGCTGAGTCATACACAGATGGAGACACTTTTGTCTTGTAGGTAACAAGATGAAGTAAAGAAACATACCAATCACAGAAAAATGTTTGAGGAAAAAAGTCTTATTAGCAAGATGCTAAAGATTAGTTATGACCAACTAACTTTTCTGATGTCAAAAAACAGATGTTATATGGAGATTTTCTCATGATGGAATATCTTTATTATGAATATTATGTATTACGTTTAATCAGTGGAACCTTATGGATGAACGGAGTATAAACAATTGAAGACTGGATTTATAAAACAGCTTCTGGATGCCTTCAAAGGTATGTTTTTGTGGCTGCTTTATAATGTTTACAATTTGACATGCTAGTACTTCTGTGTTAATTGTGCTTCAGTGCTCGCTGTTTCCAAAAAATAAACTTGATGATTAAATTGTAGAGAATCTAAGCTTTCCAACGATGTCCAACATGTCTATATTGGTAAATGTTTTCCTGTTTTAATTTTCATTCATTCTGCGTTTTTAGTTGTAAACACTATGAAAACGGTTGCTGGTGCGTTTTGAGAGGTTAAAGAAATCACTCAACCAATAAGGCTTGAGTTAGAAAACTAGAAGAAAGTGTGTCCCTTAATGGTGAATTTTGGTAATAAAGCTTGTTCTTATTAAGTAAAGTTACTCACAATGGATGGAGTAGCCAGAAATTTTACTCCAGTAAGAGTAAAAAGTACTATGCTTTAAAATGACTCCTGAAAGTTACTCAATAAAAGTAAGTTGTTACTGCCCACCTCGTTATCTTACTATTAGAGAAAGTCATAAAGCTCATTATTATCAATCCATTTTCGCAGAGGTCTATCTAGAGCAGTTCACTGAAGGACAACACTGAGCCACACAACCATGCCACACACACTCACACTTAAGGGCAACTCAATGTCACCAATTAATGTAACAGTATTTTTTAATGTGGAAGGGAGCTGGAGTATCCAGAGGGAAAACACTTTTATAGTACATGAATGCAGGACCTTCTTTATGCAAGGCATCAGTGAAAGATCATGCAGCTCTCCAAGGATATACAGTATAAATATATATATTATCTACTTTTTTTTATCAAAGTCACAGCACGTTTAACAAGTATCTGTTAAATGATTTTAATTATCTAAAAAGTATTCTGGAGTGGACTTTTACCACAGCTTTAAAAAGTCATGCTTCAAAGCCTAAGTCAGTAGATCTGCCTAGATCCCTTTAGTAAAACATCTCAAATCACCAGAACTGTGATCTTTGACCTTCTGCGTTGCCCTGGCTGGTCCTGGGCTCAGAGTGACCCTCTGTAAAAACAATGAATAAAGATGTGACACGACTCTGTCCACTGGGCTCTTTATCTCAGTGGTTCCGATTCACACAGCATGATGTAAATGTCACCTCTGCACATGCTCATTAGGGCCTAAAGGGTGGAGAGAAGCCGAGGCTTGGACTGAGATCAAACACTGTGAAAAGAGGGATCATAGAAGTATTCATTGATTAAAGCAACCTAAAAGCTCAAAGAAATTCACACCTGGATTTCAGATTCATGAATACATCCTGTGATCATCACTGCACAAACAGCTATCTTCAAAAACAGTCTGTTTTTTTCACTGTAGCACCACCCAGCTCCCGATCACACTCATATGGATTACACATCTCTGTTTGTATTGATCTCAGATCATACTGAAGTTCTCTGCACCAACAAACACAAAGACAAGACCGCCGGTCAATAAATCAAGCTCATGTTAAATTCATGCACACCTCAACCAGTGTTTTACCTCCTGCACCCTTCAATAGAGCTTTGCAGTGAGCATCATAACCCGCTGGCATCAACAGCACAGACTCATGTTTAGGTTTGAACAACATCTAAGATATCTTAAAACATGGAGGTTGGATCAGGAAGATAAAACTTACAATGAAATAAATGAAACAGTAATTAAGGAGACTTAATTGTGTTTACATTCTAGAACTTGAGATATTTTCCCTTAAAAAATAGATTTTATTTTTTCAAAATTTCTCCCACATTAATAAGAGATGGGTGAGGCCATACTTCCTTGAAAGTTAATCGACTCTGTATTCTGTATTACTCTGTATTTTGACTTAAGTGAATGAGACCAAGTTTGTTTCTATATATTTTAAAGCTGTTTTTTACTAAATCAAATTTGTGATTTTGTTCTAAATGTTCAAAAACATAGGAGAACGGTATACATATTTGGTCTAAATCTTAAAGTAACCATACTCTTTGTTAATAATTCTCCTGCTAAAATGTATACAGCTACAGATGTGCATTAATGAAAATTTCCAGAGGTCAAATTTCTAATAATGTAATGTGTCTCTGAAAATCTTGATTTGGTGAAAATAAATTTTATCCCTGAGTTTAAATACCCCGTACCGTTACTGAATATGATCAATTTGTCAAAACAAAATACAGAGTTAATATGGAATCTTTCCCAAATTGTAGGGGATGAGGCTAAACAGACTCAAAATGTATCCAGCATAGGTAGTAAATCACTAATGTGTAGGAAACTGGTGTTTTGGGATAAACTTAGTATCTATACTCAATCCCATAACGTTTAATAACTATGTATTAACAAAAACAACCCAAGTCTGACATGACCGTTGCTTTTTTAATTCCCCGTGTAAGCTAGCTGTAGTGCAGTGCTAATGACAGTAAGTAAACATAGTAAAAGTTGAATCCTGTTTTGAATCCATTCTTGCTCCCTCCTATTTTAAAAAGGTCAAACCCCAAGTCTTCCTGGAAAGTTTTACACTTATGATAAGTTGTACCTTTCTGCAAAGACAGAACCAACACTGGCTTGCATATAAACAAGAACAACAAATGGAGATTATAGTTCAGTGATATTATATTTTGTCCTCTTTGTTTTGGTCTTTGGCTGAGATTGAGAGTCTGTAACTGATTTGCAAAACAGCAGCTAGTGGAAGCTTTAAACACAGATTTCCCGAGCTGTGGTGCAGTGCTTACATACATATACAAAAAGGAGAAAACTAAAAGGATTACATTTCTTACTTATGTCCTCAATAACTATCCATCATTTTAGCTTGCAAGTATTTGTTGAGCTTACATTTAATCTGTGTCCATGTTCCATTGCCCTAAAGAAGGATCAAATGGCACAGATGGGAATAAAAAAAACAAAAAGGGGAGAAAAAAAACAGTCTTTGTAAATATAATTTCTAGTAATTTGCCTGTTACTTCTAGAATATGTGTAAGAAAAAAACAACAACAAATATATCTACAAAAATATGTATACAATCTATAATGCAAACAGCTAGGTTTCCCTACTGTGGGACAATAAAATATAGTTCTATTCTATATATATTATCATGTTTCATTTATTATTATCATTAACCAGTAGGGAATCCATGTTGTTGGTGGCTCATTGTGTGAAAGGTGGGTTGAATCACTTTCAAGAGTTCATCACAGAGTCACTGACAATAATTTAGAGTTGGATTACATGAAAGGTATTTTATTGGTATATCTCTTTACCCCCATAACTGTTGTAACAATAGTGTAATTGCATTGGTGCAAAATGGAGGCATGCAATGTCTGTAAAAAGAGAGGAGAGAAGACCTCACTTGAAGCTCATATTCAGTTATTGTGCTTAATGGTAAGCTTAGAAAGCGCTAAATTTCAACCTACGTTTGTCTTTACTGCTTTCAGAACCTTGGACAGCGCCAGTCTCGTCTCAGGGAAATGTAAGGCGCTGTCCAAGTGCTGATTGTTTTCCTTATGAAAACAGGTCTACGTGTAGGCAGTATTTAGGAGCCCTTTATGATGGATAACACTTTCTTTAAAACAGTTTCCCCTACTTTAGGTATAAACTCAGAATTAAGCCACTAGATTAAAAAGAAAGCAATTGATAGGAGTGTTTAGGACGTTACCCTGAATTGACTTTAGTTCATTTACATTAAGAATACTTAGATTTCAACACACAAAAAGTAGCATACCATATTTTTCATATCAGTGCGCCAAAATAATTGATATGCGAAGAGAACACACAACTCCACACATCCAGACGTAACTGACGCGTCACCTATTGACAGACAATCCAGCCAATTGATGCGATGACAAGTTTACCTTAAAGTCATGCAAAGGACTCCATCAGACTTAGTTAATGTGACTGCAGTAGAACAGAAACGTTTGATGCTGCTTGTTTTAAAAGCTTCAGGGGTTTAACATAAGAAGTTTCTTACAGCTTCGTCCTCGCAGCAGCGGCAGCGGGGCTGAAGTCGGGCTTTCTGGATCCCCGCCGCCCGGTCTCCCTGATCTCCGGCCTGTCCGAGGACCTGACTCGCCTCCGGTGGGTTGGGGAAGGATTTGTTGGTGTTGATCTGACCCCCGAATCTCTGATAAAGAGACGCCATGTCGAACTGGTAATCGTTCAATCGGTTCAGGTCGCAAAAAATGTAAAAGAAAGTTATGGAAGTGATGGCTGTCTACTTCAGATGGGCGGGAGAACGTGACTCCAGGGTTTGTTCAGGATTTACAGCAGGCGCCTTTGCTCCCTACCAGCGCGTCTGCAGCGACACTTTACTTTTCCCAAATGAAAAAAAACAAAGTGATCAGGAATTCCGCATGTGCAATAAAGGAGACAGAAACTGAGGCACATCCCTGCCCTCCTTTCCTCCGCTGTGCCAGAGGGAAAGTGACCGCTGTTAAACCTTCAGGGAATCTTCTTCTGCTTTACGCGCAGAAGGATCACAACCTTCTCACATTAGATTGCGAAGGTTTACACTCCAAACTTATGAGTGAACACTTAGAGTGGACTTAACACATCTTCAATTATAGTTTCTTATATTTATTCGCTTCCATTTGGGTCAGCAGATATGCAGTAGAGAGAGCAACAGTGCCCCCTTGTGGTCACAATTGCAAACTGGAGGGGGTCATTAAAAAGGGGAGAAAGAAATTACAATAACCCTGACTGTTATTATACAGAAAAAATGCATCGAAATGAATCTATGTACTATTTTTACAATTAAAATCATTGTTAACTTTAAGGCAAATGGGTCTGGCTTGGTTTTAAATATGAAACATGGTAAATTCAGAATGTGACTGGAGCTGAACGACATGAGGAAGTAACCATTTATGACCTTATTTTTTAATTATTTTTACAGAATCAATCTGTATATCCAGCTATCCATTCATCTTTATGTTTATTCTATTAACTTATCCATGCATGCACATTTTTTTCAATTTTGCATTTATCTTTTAATGTCTTTATCTGTCAGTCCAGATATCTGGATACAGATACTGTATTACTTCTGGTTCATTAGTTATGCAAAAATAATTACTACCTATCTCTAAAAATAGATCTCGGATTCAAACACGATGTGAGAGAAGGAGGTCAATTTTAACCACAAGAATCATTAAAAAGTAGGGAAATTATAAGAAAATTCTCAAATTGATTATTTAGTAAACATTGGGCACCTCAGGGCTTGTGTAGTTACCTAAAATCCAAAAAGAAAATCCTGGATTTCTCAAGGACAATTCATTGCAGCTGTGTGGAATAAAGATACATGCTTTGTTAGGGCAGTAGGGGGCAGACCTGCTTGCTTTAATCCCAGCCATGATGGCTCTTTACCAAGCAGCAGACCTCTGAGGCACTGAGAATAAATGAGAACTCATTAAACAGACAGCCTAACATAGCTTAATAAGCTCTAAAAATCTCTGTGATTTATAAACATATCTAAAAGAACATTTTCCACATGTGAAGCCAGATTTAAGAGTAGTTAATCACACAAAATATACTTATTGTTAAACCTATTTAGGGTTGCAGTCTTTTACTTATTTAAATCTCTTAAAAAAAAGAAGACCTGTATACCTAGTTTAACAAAACAATAACAAACTTCTACATAGAAACCTCTACCTAGAGAAATAAGTTTAGATGTTCTGAAGCATCTCAGGCTGTCAGCCAACCAGCCTTGGCTTATGATGGATAGCCTCTCATTTCATCCAAAGCTGCACTTATCTTTCAAAATGTCTCAGGAGGGCGGCAGTCTTTAAATCCATCCCTCACTCAAAAGTGAGGTCAAAGAAACAGCAAAAACAGCAAGGAGGTGATGAACTGAGGCGCTGCTGTCCAGAAAACTTCTAAAAATTAAAGCCACGATAATAAACACATTTACAATTAGGAGACTTTACAAAAAAAAGAAGCAATTGTCTGTGGGAGGAGCCTCTTAATCACCTTGACAACTATAAAGAAAGGGGGAAAAAAAAGAAACTAAAGATTTATGTCTGTGATTTTGAAGGAATCCATGTTTTTAAGGACAAATGGGAAGAGTACTCACTTCCTGTTTAGTTTTGTAATCAGCTGTTTTTCTTTAGTCAAACGTATTAACACATAATCTGAAACCTAATTCAGTTGAACATATGTTTTAAACTGATTTAGAGATTAAAAAAACAACTTCCAAAATAAATTCCTATTTGCATTGCTGTAGTATTCCCTCTTCAGGTCCCCACAAACCTCCCAGTTAAACCTAAAAATAAAATCCTTGATTGATTGAACCAGATTCTAGTAGCCTAATATTACAATAAAAACATTAATTTGATTACATCTTAAGACCTTACAGGGTGGGGATGCACAAAAATCCCCCCAAATATACGTTTTTAATAAAATCAATGGTAAAAATGTTTTCCCAGCTCTCAATAGATTCTTCCACTTCACTCTATGCACACCATCCAAGTTTATTATGGTATTAAGGTGTGAGGATTGACATGACCATTAAAGAGTCTTCATTTCTGGTAATTTATCTCTATGTTCATGTAGTAAAATTAGCTGAAGGATCCAAAGATCATTGTTTTTTTTCTTTATTATAAAGATGGCAACTGGATTCTCTAATTTTCTTTTTTTTTAATTTTAATACAGGATGTGAAAATGCCTACGTGTTTATTTCTGTGTAGTGAACATGTGGGTCACTCACTGCCACAGGAGGCAGTAAGACAGAAGAGATGTATGATCCGGGTTAGTTTATGGACCCCAGTGTTAGGTGTGCAACTTTTAACCTCTTCTGTCTTGGATTCTGAAAAGTTCTCATTAAGTCAGATAAATTTTTTACCTATGTTACTTTTTATAACAGAAAGTATTTATGGATCAATGCTTCTATGCTCCTCTTGTATGTCTGCTTCTCTCACTGAGCCCCACTTTTGCTGCATGCATGCTTTGTGTGTGGGATTGCTTCAGTAAATAAAAAAAACTCCATCAAATATCTACTTTCTTTACAAACTAGTCTTTAAGAAGCGAATTCTGCAAATTCATTAACTTGAATCCAATCAGCTGGTTTTCTTTAAATAAGAATGTTTTCAGACTACATTGTCTCTGTAAAGTGCCTTCAGATGGCATGTATTGTGAACTGGCACTATATAAATAAACTGTATTGAACTTAAAGACTACAGACAAAGAGTACATGTTACTGATGCAAAGGGTTGTTGATGCAATGATTCACGCTAAGAGGATAAAACAAACAGCGATGAAGGTCATGAACATCTTCAGAACTTCTTCAAACCACTTGAATCTTATTCATGTGACGTTTACATTTGATTTCTGACCACTGCTATTTTTATTCTATTTCATCACCACCATGTGACACTGTAATCCTACATCTGCCATACTAATGCGCTGTTACATATGTACACACAGTAGAGGCCCCACAGTCATTGTGTGAACTGAACAGAACTGTATCAGGCGCTGTGTTGGCTCCATGTGTGTGACACAACATAAAACATACCTTGCACTAGGGGATGTGTTAAATTAGAAAATATGTATTTTTCTGATTCTGGATGGATTTTCATATTAACTCATAAAGATGGATTCATACAAACAAGGATCAGCTTAAAAAATGCATTTTAACAGTAAACTTAAGAGTTTGAAAATTCCGACTCATATTTAATTTCACTTCCATTACTTTGCATTAATTTGTTGTTGAATGTGGATGTTATGCTTTCATATGTTGCATAACTACACTGTAATTTAGGTAACAGTAGAAAAAATTTAAAATGTTATTCCAGCAATGCAAATTAAGGTTGAATTGAAACTAAAAAGAAAGAATTCGTAAATTTAGGGATTAGAATCAAATCCATCAATTTTCTGCCACGTTTATCCCTGCTGGGGTCAAGAGAGAGTGGAGGTACACCCTTGACAGGTCGTCAGTCTATCGTAGGACAACACAGAGACACACATTCACACGTAAGGAGAATTTAGAGAAGCCAATTAACCGTCATGTTTTTGGACTGTGGGAGGAAGCCGGAGTACCTGAAGAGAACCCACGCATTCTCAGGGAGAACATTCAAACTTCATGCACAAAGTCCCCCAAACCAGGATTCAAACCCGGAACATCCTTGCTGCCAGGCAGCAGTGCTACCAACTGGACCCCTGTGCAGCCCCAAGAATCAAATGGATTCTTGAAGTTTGAATCCATTCAAAGTTTAACCTTGCAATATGTTTCATGTTTTTTCCAGCTGGTTCATGCAGACACACCAGTCTGTTTGCTTGCTGATCATATAGCATTGTAGGTGGATGATGTGGTTATTTTGAAGTTTCTGGTAGGCTAGGTATATGGAACAAGAAAATCCATTTATTATAGTCCGTCTTTGTTCTCTACATTTCCTGAATTCATTAATGTTTTCTGACTTTCAAGTTATTGGGAAGTCAATAAGGTTTTTTTTTCAAAATAACAGCAAACTTATCAAGACAAATTTACCCTGCTTACTGTAGCTCTATGGAACTCTTTGCAATAGGCTGACACTGATTATGACATCTCAGTCACATCTATGGAAGGGATGATTTTATTTAGTCAACCCTTGTTTGGAGTTTTGGTCTGTGAGACCTGCTATCTGTTTTATTAAAGAAACAAGCATTTTTTTTCAAACTCAGACTCTTTTTTTCCTTGGCTCATTTTCTTTTAGGAACAAACAAGGGAAAAAAATGATAACCCCCTCACCTCCCTACACATTTATATCACACCCAGAAGGCTTAGGTCCACTGGACCCAGACATGATAAAAGTGTGTACCATCAGTCTTCCTTTCTTTTTCACCCTGTTGTCTGAGTGTGTATGTGACTCTCCCCTTTCTGCGCCTGCCATTCCTGCACTAAATTGAAATATTAATGCAAAATTGAAGCATTGACGTCGGTTTGCCTTCACATTCCTGCCCTGTGTGACAGGAACCACTAGACATAATTTGTGTGAGAGAGTTGGGGACTAAATACACATTTTCTGAGTTAGTTGTTTGTCAGATTAGCAGCAAGATTTTCTACAGAAATGTTATCATAAATTAGAGAAAGTTGATTCTCTTATATAGGAGGGGGTCTCAAGTTTCTAAAATCTCTGTCAACTCACAGTGTGGCAAAGAAAATTAGAAGAGAAAATGCTGTTGACATTTTTGTAATAGTGAACATCCTTGTGTTTATTTGCAATTTCAAGCAATAAAATGCAGCAAGTTCTCCAGACCCACAAACATTGGCTTCAGTAACCAAAATCCTAAAACCAAACAATGGATAAATAATGATTAACAACATAAAACATTTGGTTTTACAGCCGATAAACCATTTGTGACTTTTTTTTTTTAAGCCTGTTTTAAATGGTCTGGTATCTCAAATAGAGGAATCTAGCAAGGGGTCCTGGGGGCCTTAAAAAGAAAA